GGTTGTTTCTACATCGGGAACAACTTGATTTCATGGCTGAGCAAAAAGCAGAATTGTGTTGCACTGTCTACCGCGGAGGCTGAATACATCTCGGCTGGAAGTTGCTGCTCCCAGCTTATGTGGATGAAACAAATGATGGTGGAGTTTGGACTTCAGGTAAAAACCATAAACCTATTTTGTGATAACACTAGTGCTATCAATATCTCTAAGAATCCTGTTCAGCACTCCAGAACCAAACACATAGATATACGGTACCATTTCATCAAAAATTTGGTAGAAAATGAAGTGATATTGTTTTTGACTATGTGCCAACACAAAACCAGTTGGCTGATATATTCACCAAGGCACTGGATTCTCAATGATTGATTTCTCTAAGGAAATCCTTAGGGATGTGCACTCTCTGAATGCTTGCGTGAATTTGCATTATATTATATTTTCTTGTATATTATTTATATTATAATCTATTGCATTGCTTGTAAGCACGTAGGATTTTATTTGCATTAGGCATAATCTGCATTGTTGCATATTCCTTCACCACTAAGACATGAATGAAGTTCCAAACCTTCTGAAAGTGAGAGAGATGTTGATTGTCCTTGATTGGTTGCGTGTTCTTACATGCCTTGGAACAAATATATTTCTGTCAACAAAAGCTGCCTTCACACAATGATCTAGAGCGATAGCTAACACATGGTTCGTTTCCTTTTGGATCGACTGTGAAAAGAGCGTCATGGACAGAAAACGTGTGAAGGGTGGTAGCTATTGACAACCACTGCACTTTATTGTGTGGTGTTTCTTACTCGGAGTTATAAGGTGGTCATTATCATAAAAAACGTAGTGCATAATGTTTTAAAAAAAAAATAATAATAATAATAATAATAAAGGGATCCTTCATCGAGCATTGAGGCAAAGTAGTGGGGTTGACTTTCACTATTGCAGTGATTGTTACTAAGTGAAACGCCTTGGTGTGAATATGTTGCTTAAAATCATTGGGTAAAGTAGTGGGGTTGACTTTCACTATGGCAGTGATTGTTACTAAGTGAAACACCTAGTGAATAATAAAGCTCATGTTCTTTTGGTGTTGGAATTCTGGAGTAACATGATTTGCACTATATATATATATATATATATA